TGCAAGTCTGGGTGTATTTTGTAGAAAGTATACACAAAAACATTCTCAAATCTCCTTTTTGTTGGAAATTTGCCTTTGCTTGAGTTTCCTGCTTAGAGGAGGAGGACAACATAGATTGATTTTTATAGCCACTGAAATGCAATCTAATTAACATTGTACCCTTTTGTTCAGCAGTGCTACTTTTGGTGTCTGTAACCTGCTTCATGGCAATTAAAAATTTGTGTGAACCGTATATAGTGTTCTCCCAATGTCAGGAAGGTGTATGATTATACTTAAGTGGAAAGTACGAATCGTGTAATCCGAAAACCTCAAATAAAAGTTCGACGGCTGGTTGCGTTGCGAATGAGACAGTAGCTGGTGAACTATTTTGAGATTGAAAGATGAACTCCCTTCTAATACGAAAGTGGAAAGGGGCTTGATTGCCGAAGAATAGTTCCTAGGAGTTTTCGTCGACCTTGGGAAAACTTATTAAATGTGCACAAGCACCGAAAGCAGTGAACAACTGCAGCGTTTAAGCAGCCGTTTTTACGACTGATTTCTACAGGTGATTAGAGTGATATTCATGTAAATTCAGTTACTGTACATATATGAAATAACTTGGGATGATGGTGCATATTGATCAGTGTTGCAATCTAATCGGAGTACTTGGTTCTGACCGAAAACATTTTTTCATGCGGTTCACGACCTACAGCAGTAATTGTATCTTAGAGTAACTTGACTAAACGTGTTGTGAAAAGGTTGCTCTCCGTGTTGCTTTGCTTTGCAACTGCGTACTTCGTTAGGGGGGGGGGAGAGCGCCATGCTGATTTGTCTCTAATTATCTTTTTAGTTAAAGTAGATTAGATTTATTGTCTTTAATCATCCCTTGCAGCTAGCACATAGGCGATACACGAGACGTGTAGACTGCGTGGGAACTACAGACACATTTCTCATTAATCTTCTTTACGTCTACCGCATATGCTCTGCAATATTTTGTTCATACCGGTTTGCTGTACTGCCTCTCACCGCCGCGACTAACGCCCTTGGCGTTATGCTGTTAGAAGGGCTCTAGGCTAGCCCCACTTGGTTG